GAAGGTGAATGTTAATCTAGGTTTGCTTTCTCTTGTTTTTTTTGGTTAGGAATTGGTGTAGCCGACGGTTTTGCCTTCGTTTTGTCTTTGACCTCCTCCCTCATTGATTCCAAATCCACCACTCACTATCGTTTTGTCTTCATCCCCCTCTCTTATCAATTTGTAGAGAGAAGTCGTGGAGAGTGCTATGGGTTTTGTTCTTCACTGATTCACAATTCTTCCTTTTGAAACCATCTGGTCGGCGATTGAAACCTCATCACATCCAAGGAAGTCCTCAGCGATGGCGACAACATCGCCGTGAGAAACCAATTTCCAAAACCTTGATGATGTTGTCATCTTCCTCCGTGCCATCCCTTGCTTCAGCAATGGGCAGCGACATCGCCATTGGAAACTAGTTTCCAGAACCTCAACAATGTCATCATCTTCTAATGTATTTGATTGATTTCTATTTGTACCTAGAATCTGCTTGAACTTTGCTTCAATTCGGATGATTTGGGGCGGGGCAAATTTTTTTGAGATGAGGGCATTTTAGTCTTTTCATATTTTTAATATTAATATTTAATAAAAGTAATTTTTGAATTCCATGAACATACCAAACACATTTTAAACCCTATATTCACTTCCACTTCCATATCTATTTCCATTTCCATCATACCAAATGAGGCACAAGGTGTTAGGGCTTGATTTGATTGTATAAACTTTTTTATATGTTTGGGCATTTTAAATTTAATCCAAATAGGCTCATTCTGAATTGAGCCCAACCTATCGTGTTACCAGCTCTACCTTTAAGTGTGTGAGGTGAAGTGTTTTAACTATCTTTAAAATAAACTAAAATTACTTATAAATTCTTAATACTCTTCAAACACGTTACATATATAATTAAAAACATTTCTTTCGAATATTACAGGAAATCATGAATAGTAACTTTGAGAAGTGTCAATAATATTTTTTAAAACACAAATAGTAATCGTCTTTGTACACATAAATTATAAATTTTAAAATCATTCAATATCCGCAATAATTTCAACTGTTTTGTGCGAATATTATTTGTCAGTATTTAGATTGTTATATTCTAGGACATTCTCATATGTTTTTTAAAATAATAATTTTAATATGCGATTAAAAAATAAAATAATAAATGTGACAATATAACTTAAATATATGCCTTAGATGAAAATAATAGTAATAATATCCCTTAAATTAAAAGCATATTTTGACTATACGACAAACAAAAGCATGCAACCTGAAATGTTTTCAGTTCACTCTTTCACATGTTACCATGAATTTGAAAATAAAAGTTGAAAAAATTTATGTGTCCTCATCATTTTTATCATATACAATTTTATATTTATAATCTAAAACGTTAAATAATTTTTATACTTTAATATTTCATATGAGTTTTTAAAATTATATCAGTTTTTCAACAAAAGAAATAAGGCATAATGAACTTTCAGTTTTTTAAGTTTGCTTCAGTCATCAATTTGATGTCTAAAGTTTAATTTTATCCGATTCAGTCCCTTACATTTTCTTAAATTATTATGTTAGTTTTAAAACACGAATTAACTATCAAATTAACCTAATATAAAAAGTATATTTTGATGACTTAGAATGTATATATAGTTAAATGAGAATAAATTAACCCTCAAATTAGTTTAATTTTTATCAATATAATCTCTTCATATTGCTTTTTGTTCTTTTGTTTTTAAAAATTTTTGAATCTTTTTTCCTATCTAAATAATTACATTGCCTTTCATTAATTTACATAGTTACCATCTCTCTTATCTATGTCAGTAAATTTTAACTGTGTTACTCATATTATCTACTTTTTAAATAATAAAGACCAAATCAATAACTAAAGTAAATATAAGGGACCACATTGATAAAAATTAAATTTAAAAGATTAATAATTGAAGCAAACTTGAGGGACTAAAAGTTTTACTATCCAAAAAAAAAATTGAATAAACCCTTGACCTTTATACCATCCCACCCCTCCCGTATCCTTACCACTTGAATCATGTATAAATTTTGAATTTTAAAATATTTTAAAAAATCATTAATGTTAGTTAACTGTCCTAAAGCATCATTTCTCACTCTTTCCTTTGTGATCGCCATGCAATTGTTCATTTGGAAAGAAGTGTTGATAATAAAGTGCAATTCACAAGTCTACTCACATATGAATATTGACTTCCAAATCATTTATCCAATAAAGACTTAACCGTTCAAAGTCTTTACCATTCTATACGTGTGGTTTGAGCATGTGTGTGTGATGCGAAATGCTTCATGCGTCAATTCCAAACAAGTCTTTATACATCAAAGACTTGGTCGTTTCCTTTTATTGGTTTGATTTTCCTTCTCCTAATCCTTTCATTGTCTTGTTGTCTAGTTTTTCCACGTTAACGACTTTCTATTTGTGAATACTCAACAAAACCGAGCAGTGATGTCTACTTCACAATCCAATTCACATACAAAAGTCTTAAGAAATATTTTTGGTTCTCGAATTTGTAATTTTATCTTTGCATGTATTTTACAAAAGTAACATCAAAATTAAATCTAACGAAGAGAAAAAGAAACGTGCATTGACATACAAATTAAAGTCATTATACAGAAAAGTTTTGAATGGTATTGGTGCTTCATTGCTTTGATTTTTCTTCACGTTATCCTTTGCATGTCTTTTTGTTTCGTTTTTCCACCTAATGTAATGTTACGTTATTCCAACTGCGCCACTTTTTTCCCTATAAATGTCTCATAAATAAAGAAATATCTCCATTATAATTACATTGTAATTAAATAGTTGCTTCCAAAGTTCACAATATTCCATACGCGTGGTCTGAACACATTTAAGCATGCCATAAAACTGCGAGATATTTTTCTATAACTTAATATTACAAATTTGAGAATTTAAATTTTAAGAAAAAAGCAGCAGTAGTAATAATAACAATAAAAAATTGTTACTCTATTTCTAAATACAGAAAATTAAGGCCAATAATCGTGGCAAATTTTCTAACTCAACGTTATTTCCAGGTCATTCCCTTATCCTTGATTGATAACTATTCCCTCTAGTTTAAAATATAAGCAGTTTTTTTAAAAAAAAATTGCATATCAAGAAAGTCCTCATTCTCATAAAGATATTTTTTTTTCCTTTTTTATCCCTAGTATCAATTACCAATACACTTTATGATGAGTGAGAGATACATTCACACAAATATCTAGGTTAATAAATACAAGGGATAAAAGAGGAAAGGTATTTTTTTATATGTATTAGGTTGGATACATTTTGAACCAATATTAACTAAGAGAAAATGTTTATATTTTGAACTGAAAGGAGTATTTAACTTAATAGTGATGGTGATGTGCAGTTCACAAGTCTACCCACATATAATCATTGACTTACAAGTCATCCAATAAAGACTTAACTGTTCAAAATCTTCACCGTTCTTTACGCGTTGTTTGAGCATGTGTGAAGGGTTACACATGGGTAGAGTTAGGCTGGACGTTACCCCCTCCTAGGTGTCCTGTTCGATTTGCTGTTTGAGATAGCTCGATACCTGAGTGTTTGGGTCAGGTTTAGCTCGATAATTGACCCAAAAATTTTTTACAAATATTTTTAGAAAAATAAAAAAATATTTTAAGAAAATATAATCATTATCATTTAAAATATATTCTTTATGAAACTAATATTAGAATCAAAAGGTTTTTTTTTTCAAAATTACATATGATCAATAACTCTCAATTATTTTTTGATAATATTAAGTAATTTTTTTAAATGTTGAAAGAGATTAAAAAATTGTAATGATAAGAAATATCCAAAAACATCATAAAAATATAATTTATAAAATAAATATTATTCACAGAAAAATATTAAAACAAAAAACAACATGTTCGGGCCCAAAGCCCGGCCGATGTGAAGTGAAATGCTTCTTGCATCAATTCAATATCCCTTCTCACATGTCGCAACAAATATATATAAATGCAAGTTTTTATATATGAAAGACTCGGTTGTACCTTTTTATATTTCATACATGTCCATGTGTTTACTGATTCATAAGCATTCTTCTAAAGAGGATGAGCGTTACGCACGCATACACTAGATTGATCCTTCACTTAGATAGAAGTTTCTTCCAGGGTATGTACATAAAGTGTGAATTCCAGATGATAGGGCTTAAGAGTGATTAATTAAATCTAAAATTAAAATTGTTCCTAAATTTAAAATAAACTTCACTATTAAATGGACTTGAGATTCTGTTTTTCTCATTTGATGGTAGTTAAACTTAAATACTATTTATGATTTGTCACTGCTTGAGAACTTTTTGGGCTATAGGCTATATTATGCCACAAAAAATTATATAGAATAGGACAAATATCCTTAAACTATAAAGTCAGAGATGGGATCCTTTTTTTTTTTTAACAAACGGAGAGAGAGTTGAATTTATTTTTTTGTTTTATCTACATGCATCAACAATTAATTTAAAGGCCATCCCCTTAGAATTGAATTGGAAAGCAACATATAATAAGTTGCTCGTACAAATGTTAAACATTGGCTCACAATAAATATATATTAATACTAATTTGATTATATATATATATATATTAATCATCACAAATAAATCATAAATTAATATTTTATCAGTTAAGGAGTTATTTGATTTTTAAGAATATTATTTTTTCAAAAGGATATACAAGAGTAAATGCTCGTTAACATTTTAATTTCATGGAGAAGAATGATGGGGCATTGGTGCTGGTTCGAAGTAAGTCAGTCATTTCACTGTCTTAATTTTTGTTGTTGTCCATTTCAATAAATTAAACCAAAGAAACATTCATTTTCATCTTATCATGTGTGTGTGTGTGTGTAAGTAAAATAAAACACGATTATTGTGATTTTCCTAAGATCGCTCATTACAAGATTATGAATAACAAGTAAAAAAACATGAATATTATTAATACAACCAAAGTAAAAAAAAAAAAAAAGAACAATTTTGACGTGAAGCAAGTAAAAGAAGTTGCTAAGTGCGACGCTTATTAACCCTTGTCCTCCTCCTCTTTAGAAGATTGTTCACCATTCTTGCAATCCACTTAGGTTTTCCTGAGAAAATCACAACGCAAAACACTGAAGTTCCAAATGAGGCTCCACATATATACCGTAGCAGAATAGGTTTCCATCCAAATTCAAAAAATCCAGCATCACAACTTGAACTTGGTAATAGTGGTTGACTTTTCTCATGAGCGACGTCGTATGGTGTGTCAAGTTGAAATCCACGCAAGCCCTTGTTTCCTTTAAAGGAATCACTTGAAAATGTCTCAAAATGTGAGACCATAGGAATGCATCCTTCAAGCTCATTCTGTGATAGGTTCAAGTACCCAAGAGAGTCAAGACTTGCCAATTTTAAAGGAATTTTTCCTACAAGCTTGTTTGATGACAAGTCCAATGATTCCAAGTTCATCAAATTTCCAATTGAGCTTGGAATTGCACCAATTAGCCTATTATGTGAAAAAGTGAGCACCTTCAATTTGCCAAGCTCTTCAATAACTTCTGGAATTTTTCCTTCAAACATGTTCATGGATACATCAATAGCTGTAAAAACAGTCAAGATCCTTTCTAATTGAATTTTCAATCCTTTCATGGTTACTTCAATGGAGTCTTGATACATAGATTCATAACCCATGTAATGCAAGCTAGGTTCTCTTTCATCAGCATTTCTCATTGCTTCAAAAGATTTGAAGAATGTAGCAGGTAAAAGGACACTAAAATTGTTGTTCGACAAGTCCAAGACTCTCAATTTTAGGAACGCATGGTTGGTTTCGTTATTGAAACTAAGAATTGAACCACATAACTTATTCTCTCTAAGAACAAGTACTTGCAATTCATGAAGCACTTAAAGCCGATAGGGAAAAGTATCTTCCATGTCATTCCTACCAAGATCTAAGACTTTCAATTTTGTGCAATTGACCAGAGATCGAGGAAATGACCCTTCCAATAGGTTGTCATTAAGATTTAGGGTCGTCAAATTGTTTCCCTTTTTAAATGACTGAGGTATGGTTCCAAAGAATCTATTCATTTGCAAATCCAACACAGAAAGAGCAAGACTTAAGCTACCAATGTAGTGAGGAATGGTGCCAGTGAATTTGTTATGGGACAAGTTAAAAACTTCAAGTGAGTTGCTAATGCAATGTGGAATGGTGCCGGTGAAGTAGTTATGGGACAAGCTTAGAAATTCAAGTGAGTTAGCATAGCAAATAGAAGAAGTAAGCTCTCCTTGAAGTGAGTTGTTACTCAAGTCAAAGAACTCCATGTTTTTCCATGAGAAGTTGTGCCATTGAATACTTCCTGTGAGAAAGTTGTGAGAAAGGTTTAGATATCTAAGGTTTTTAAGGTAAAAAAGCGTCCTTGGAATTGAACCTGATAATTTGTTATTGGACACATCAATATATTCCAATGAATAAGAGGATATTTCACCTATTGGGCCTGTGAATTGGTTGGAAGAAATATCCAAACTCTCTAAAGATGGTAGAAGAAAACACCAAGAAGGAATTGTTCCATTCAACTGGTTATGTGATAAGTCTAAATTCCACAACAGTGGCAATCTAGCCATTTCATTTGGAAGATGTCCAAAAAAGTTATTGTCAGAGAGGCTCATATAAGTAAGATATGTAAGGTTCAAAAAAGATGATGGAAGTTCTCCCTTGAATTGGTTTGAGGAGAGATCCAGATAATACAATGATTTCATTTGGCCAATGTAATGAGGCAACTCTCCTGTGAAGCTCGTATTATAGAGATACAAATATCTAAGGGAGTTGCTAAAATTAGACCTTGGAAGATAGCCTGTAAGATTTATGCTATCACCCAAATATATCCTCTCTGGTTAGGGAAAAGAAAAGAGTTTATCTTCAATATTCCCTTGCAATCTAGCTTGCCAAAGCCCAAGAAAGACCAAAGAAGAGGAAAGATTATTTAATAAATGACTCATTGGTATTGATGACATATCTACACCATCTAGATAAATATTCTCAATATGCACTACTACAGAAAGATGTATAATTGACGCCCTATAATTGACATTTATTTATAAAAAAATGACAGATAAAAAAGGCAGAGAATACTTGACAGTTTCTACGAAACAAGCGAAAAATATTTAAGTAAATACTTGACGGTTATTTAAAGATAACCGTCAAGTATATACATTTGACGTTTTTTATAAATAACCGTCATATAAAGCAAAAATTTACACATCGGTCTTCAATAAACAAACGTCAAATTAATAGTAGAAAAAAAATTAAATTTTTTCACATACTTGACGCTTGTTTTGAAATAACCGTCAAGTTTGTCTGCCATATACTTGACGGTTGTTTTAAAACAAGCGTCAAATATGTAATACTTGATGGTTATTATGAAATAACCGTCAAGTATTGTCATTTAAATTCCCTCTTGATTTCTTTTTCGCTCTCCATTTCTGCAAATCCTTCATCTTCAGAAATAAACCTAGAGCCACCGAAACCCATTTTGCGTCACTCTAACTGCCAAAAAATACGTTTTCGATCTCGATTCTGGAGGGGTTTTTGATTCTCGGCCTCCATAAGTCTCGTGGGCACTCGTTCGTTGGGATTCTCGGTCTCTATCACTCTGCATCAGACTCTCATCTCTGTTTTTCTGCACAGTCGGTGTTCCCTTTTCTTGTTGAGGTAGGTTCTTGCTTTCCCAATCATTAATCTTCATTTTGAATGTATGGGTTGTTGATTTTGATTTTCATACATAATAAATAATTTTTGTGTTATTTATTATGATCTGCATTGTTGTTCTTCTCAGTGAGTGTTTGAATTTTTGAGTTTTTGGGTACTTAATTATTGAATTAAGGGATCATCCAATTTTTTTGTTGATATGAGGAGATTCATTAAGGATATGAAAATAGTATACCACCTAATTACCTTATTTTTAATATTTTTGATATTTTAAATTGATATTTATATAGTGTTTGATGTGGTTTAATATGATTTTAATTAAAATTGAGTTTCTTATTAATGTTGTTATTATTGTTGTTAGATCATATATAGTCTCATTATAGATAACTTGATTTTTTTTAAAGGCATAAAGACTTGGTAATACTCATTTTAAGCCGTTATATATATTATCAATTTTTTTAAATTATTTTTGAATATAACTTTATGTGTTTGTTGTTGTGGATGTTGTTGTTGTTGTCATTTAGATTAATAGGAAGAGGGGATAAGGCCCGGGAAACTCTCTTTTTTAAGTTGTTATGCTGTCGAAATTATTTCAATGGCTAGCATTAAAATATAATTATTAGTTTTAAACAAGATTAAAGAGGGAATGTGCAAACATGTAGTTAGTGACTTATTGACTAATTGATCTTTGTATCTAATTCTCCCACTATCTAGGAGTAGTCAAAGTCACTAATCATATTTTTCTCTTAATCTTTTAGGAATTATGGATAAGGAATGGATGTCTGTCAATCATCTATCTAAGGAATATTGGGATGGGGTGGCAAATTTTGTTAAGCTTGCAGTTAAGCATGCGAAGGATCCTACTAGAATTGTTTGCCCATGTTTAAAGTGTGGTCTTGTGAAGCGGGTTAGTCCAAATACTTGTGAAGAACACCTCGTGATTAATGGGATGGATCAAAGTTACAAGTGTTGGACAATGTATGGAGAGACAAGAGATGATATTGGTTGCAGCCAGAAGCATAGTGAAAGCTGTGCATCATCTCCTGATAATTTTGACACATGCACACTTGAGGAAGATTGTCTTGAACAGATGGCCAAAGCAGTTGAAGAGGACCTCGAGGATTATCCAAAAATGTTTGAGAAGTTGAAAAGTGATGCGGAGACACCATTGTATGCTGGTTGTAGTGCATTAAAGTTGTCAGCAGTATTAAAATTGTACAACATGAAGGCAAAACATGGATGGAGTGATACAAGCTTTACTGAGTTGCTTGGGTATTTGAAAGTAGAATTACTTCCTAAGGAAAATGAGCTTCCTTGTCGAACATATGACGCAAAACAAGTATTACGATCAATTAGCATGAGTTATGAAAAGATACACTCGTGCCCTAATGATTGCCTTTTATTTTGGAATGAATATGCGTCGTTAACCGAGTGTTCGAAGTGTAATGCCTCACGCTACAAGCAGAACAGATCAAGTCCTGTGAAGGTACTATGGTATTTTCCAATCGTGCCTAGATTTAGACGCATGTATAGCAGTGCAGAAATTGCGAAAAACTTAACATGGCATGCGGATGAAAGGATAAAAGATGGCATGCTTTGTCATCCTGCTGATTCTCCACAATGGAGAAAGATTGATTATGAGTACCCTGAATTTGGGGAAGAGAGTAGGAATCTACGCCTTGCATTGTCTACCGACGGGATGAATCCTCATGGGATTCAAAGTAGTAGCCACAGTACTTGGCCAGTCATTTTGGTGATTTATAACCTTCTTCCATGGCTTTGCATGAAGCGCAAGTATATAATGTTGTCCATGCTAATTGCGGGACCCAAGAAACCTGGGAATGACATAAACATATATTTGGCTCCTCTAATTGATGACTTGAAGATCATGTGGGAGTCAGGTATAGAGGTATATGATGGGTATAGAGAAGAAAGAGTTAATTTAAGAGCTATGCTCTTCGGTACAATTAATGACTTTTGTTATTGATTAAAGGAACTGAGCGCCCAAAAATAAGAAGAGAGTGGCCAAGAATGAATACCCTTACAGAGCAAAGAGGTTAGGGTATGCAGGCGTGGAGCAGAAAGAAGTTGAGGCCGAGGGATCAGATGTTACTATATCCCGCCAAAGACTCTGGGCATTGGCACGAACAAATAAAGATGGAGTAATTGACAACCCTCGTGTGAAAGAGGTTGCTGAAAAAATTGTAAGTGTTATTCTTATCTATCAATTAATAAATGATTATTAAAAGGCATACTAATTAGCTATACTTTCACAGGATTCCCTCTCTCAAGAAGTATCACAGGGCAAGCTTCCTGAGCATGAGGATATCTTAGCTAGAGCGTTGGGGACCCCTGACCACCCTGGTTGTGTTAGGGGTGTTGGCTTCGGTGTCACAAAGAAGCAATACTTTGGCAAGATTAAGAAGCGAACATTGGCTTCTTCATCCGAGGTCCAAGAGTTGAGAGAAGAGCAAGCTGTTATGAAGCAACAGCTAGAAGCCCAAGCAAAGTTAATTGACATGCTATTGAAGGGCTAGATCCCTGGGAGACTTTTGGGTGACATCAGCCCCAGCAAAAAAAATAGCTGCACAGTCCCTTCAGACAAAATACCCGAGGTAATGCATTTTCTCTTTTAAATTTGCTCAACTAATTTTTTATCTAAACAACTAACATTCTTCATTTATTTAGGGCGAGAATGACTGCAACTATTTAGCAGACAATCCGTCACGCAAAGTAGTTGCAACGGGACGCGTGTATAACATTGTCAGGGACACAATCCATAAGCTTCCCCTCCCGCCCGATTGCATTAGGGTTTTCTTGCTTGTTGCAATCGACCCCAAGTATCCATTACCTTATCCTACCGATGAGATGCAGACGGTAGGAGATGCGTTGGGGAGCTTCGTTGCATGGTCTAACCACCTTATTATGGTTGGTACACCAAAGCTGACAAAGGACCCAAAGCCGCCAAAGGACCCCTTGCCACCAAAGAAAAAGGTATATATGATTTATATAATTATTTAAAATCTTT